TCCAGACCCACCCTTACTTTTTCTCTTCTTACCGTAAGAAAATATCGTGGTGTGTTTCCCTCAAAGACACACATTACCTCTCTGTTAATTGAGTTTCAAAAGCTCAAAATTCCTATTGATGGCTGAGAATTGGTCGTTTTGCGCAGTGGCACAAAAATGGTCATACTGTTCATTGGTATTTTACGGTTGTAGTTGCATTTTACTAGTGTACTATTTGCGTATTGATCAATCATGTTTAATAATTATAGTACTTGCTCACAGAATTCTGTCGGGCAAATAACGAAAAAGGCAAAGAACAACATTCTCTCGATAACACATCATCCCAAATTTATTTACTTGATCATATGTTTCTATATACTTCTTCATATTTACCCTCATACCAATATCCAGTATCCAGTACGAAAAAACTCCAATTGGTATCATTGCGTCCAATGGTATCCGTGGGGGTTTGAATTTGGACCAATCAAACAATTCTACGTATTTACTACGCCGGAGGCATAAACCTCAACTGTTTACAGTATGGAGTGTTTGGTACGCACACTGATTGGTCGGTTTCCACCAATCACAATGCAATATCCATGATGCCGCCACCTCTCCTTGTAGAATCCCCTCGTGTTATGGCGGCGGCAGTGGAGCCTTCATCGTCGTTGGAGTGGAAGCGCATCATCCATGCTATGCGAGATCCAGGGCGGAGCGAGTACTCGTTCGTTCCGCACAAATACATCCATTCCACGCCAATCCTGTCCCCGACGCCAGGTGGCATGGACTTTGAAATCGGAGCCGCCGATGAAACCACCCCAATCAATGCCAGGTACCTCTATATATTTCTAATGTGACTGTCACCAGTACTCACACTGCTGGTATTTCATAGACAACATGCAGTGGAACATGCTCGTCCTAGTTCGGTGCACTACAGCGCCTTCATGTACTGGCTCATCCTCATCGTGTCGCTCAGCTTCGTGTGCGTCGAGTGGGTCCTACTCTATCCGCTGTCGCCCTCGCGACTGTACAACATCCAAGTCGACATGTTCGACGGCCGCGTGAACCACGCCGAGTTCTTCTTCCAGCAGATCCTTCCACTAGGCATGCTCCTGGGTTCGTTGATCACGTTCAAGCTTGCCGATCGCTTGGGTCGAGCCACGATGCTCGAGCTCGCCGCCATTCCGTACGTCCTGGGTTGGCTGTTTGTGGGCGTGGCGTTCGGCCAAGTCACGCTCCTCGTTGGTCGCTACTGCCTCGGCGTGGCCATCTCGGTCTTCTCCATCGTAGTGCCGATTCTCCTGGCAGAAGTGAGCGAAGACGATTCCCGGGGCCGCGTCCTCACCGCGTCGCAGCTCGTCCGCATGCTCGGCGGCCGCATGGTGTACATTGGCGTAGGCCAGTTCTTCGTGTACTTGAGCACGTGCTACGTGAGCTTCAACCTGAGCGAGTGGAAGATCATTGCAACCATTGGGGTAGCTCCAGGCTTGCTGCTCCTTGTCTGCATGCAGTTCGTACCGGACACGCCATCGTGGCTGCTGCTTCGGCACAATGACCGTGTCACGAGCTTCTCGGTGTGCCTAAAGATCCAAAGCCCCGTCTCCGTGAACCGCAGCACGCGCGCCGAAGTCCGCGTCAACTCGATTCTGCACGCCGACTTTCTCTCCACCCAGGCCGCCCAGGACGACCTCGGCCGCGCCCATCAAAACTTGGGCTTCTCTCGGCCTCTTCGGCTCACCTGTGGCCTCTACGCCCTCCAAGCCATCGCAGCCACGATCCTCGAGCCGTCGCTGTACCCCACTACCGCCAACACGTACGCGTTTGGCTTGTTTGGCATTGGGCTCAACCTGAACGAGTGGAACCAACTGGTTGTGAGCTATTTTCTCGCCGGGGCGGCGGCGCTGGGCCTGGTAGCCGCGTCGTTCGTGATCGACTCCCAAGGTCGCGTGCAGTGTCTCAAGCTCGGAACCGGCGTGGTTGCCGCGTCTGCCTTGCTTCTCCTCCTTCTCAAGACCACGACCAGTCTAGACGCTATCAACGACACAGTGTTGGACTTGAACGAAGCCGGGTCAGCCTTGGTGCTGCTGATGACCGCGGGTCATTACATCGGCTTGGGGCTATGTCCCCTTGTGATTGCCAGCGAGATCTTCCCCGCCCGACGCCGCGTGGCCGGCGTGAGTGTGGTCGTGCTCGCAGGAAGCGCCACGTCACTGGCAGTGGGCTACTTGATCAACTGCCTCCGAAGTTCGTCCGCCGTGACGTCGCAAGTGCTGTTCCAAGGCGCCGTCGGTGCGGTTGGCGTTGTGAACGTCGTGGCGCTGGTCGTCGCGGTTTTCTTCGTACCAGAAACCAAGTCGCGGTCCCTCCAAGAAATTGAAGCCATCTTGAGCGGCTACGCTCCCATCACGCCGCCCAATATCCGCTCCAAATCAGTCATTCGAGTGATGAACCAACCACCGGATTATGGCACCGCGTAACCTTCGTGTAATATACTCTGGAATCAAAGTACATGTACTTTGTCGTCATTGAAAGATGAAGACGTCGTGACGATGGTGTTAATATTTTAATACAAGGAGTACTTGTCGAATATTCCCCTTTTATAGTTACTACACCTAAGACACAATCAACGACAGCTTCTCGTTCGAGCTCGGCCACAGCCTGCTCGTCGGTATGCCCAAGCCCATCAAGCTGCGCGACCCCGTCACCAACTTGCGCCCCAATGTTCTGTGCATCCGCAAGGCCATCTCCCTGCTCGTCCTCCGTCGAGGATTACGTCGGCTCATACCAAAGCGGCTTTCGCAGCCACCGCAGTACTGCTGACGCCGTCTGGACCCACAAGTAGTGCATCGCGCACTCTCAGCGGTACAAAAAGGCGTTCACCATCTTTGGCATCGACCTCTCGCGCGCGTTCGACACGATTGACCACGAGAAACTCCTTCAAGTCATCGAGCAGATCGTCAAGTCCGACGAGCTCCGCCTCATCCGCATGCTTCACTCCGACACGACGATACCATCGGTCAGCCCTTCTCGACCAACGTCGGCACGCCTCAAGGTGACTCTTTGTCACCGGTACTCTTCATTGTCTACCTAGATGTTGCCGTTAAAGACGTAGCCGCTGCGACCAACTTGCCCCACCGCCTCCTCAGCAGCGCCATTGCCTACGCCGCCGACGTCGACTACCCTGCCGACGCCCAACGTATCAAGGCCCACGCCCCGCCACACTGGCCAAGTGGTCCCACGTCATGAACCCGGACAAGACCGAGATCACGACGCTCAAGCGCGTGTGCATCAACCGCCTCGTCGCTCCCGACCCAATGCCGCTGATGACAGTACTGACCCCGAAACCATGGCGCAAGACCAAGAAGCTCGGCCGACGTAGCACGCCGCAAAGGCCTGGCCCGCATCGCTTTTCACAACATGTGGTGCCTTTGGTTCCGCCGCCGCGACATCATCCACGAGGCGCCGCGGTTGGCGCCTTTACAACTGCTACATTTTCCCGTGCTGCGCTACAACTGTGCAACCTGGGCCTTAACGCTCACGGAGCTCAAGAGCTTCCACCGCCGCCAGCTCCCCGTTATCATCGACGTCGACTACCCACACCACAGCTCAAACGCGGCGCTGTATGCCCGTTGCACCTGCGCTACGGCCTGCTCTGCTCCCTCTGGGGCCTCCTTGGCCGCATCATCCGGTGTTCCGTAGACACCCCGGTCTACAAGTCCATCCTCCGGTACTTCAGCTTTTCCGTAGTTGAGCCTTGGCCCGGCCGCCCCATCACGTCGCTACCTCGCATCCCCAACGCTGACCTCAAGACTCTCCCCGACGAGATCCAGCGCCTCACGTCCTCCGCTCCACCGCAGCGAACAATATCCGGTGGAAGGTGCTGACCAAGCAGATCGTCGCCGCATGCGCCACCATCCCCCAGCACTCATACGACTAACGTTCGACGTACAGTACAGTAAGATGTTTCATGCATTTCCCCCATGACAGATTTGACCATCGAAATTCTCATAACCTCTTAATAGTAATCTTTATAAAGTGTACAAGGTATTTAATTTAGAAGTCATTGTTATTATAAGATTAAATGAGTTGTGAAAGAATGCAAATATTAGATGCTAAGGGTATTATTTACCTGAGTACCTCATTTTATCCAATCATCACCGTTTAATGATTGTGATTAGCTGCCAACTGGGCGGAAATTACATGGTGGGCGGAATCACCTTACGCGAAGTTCGCGAACTGTAGACGCAAATGATTCCTTAGCTACTTCCTCTGCTCCACATTCCATAACTTTGGCATACAAAATTGGCTTCGAATATTTCCAAAATGAATAAAATCGCAACACATACAAACATCAAGTAGAATATCTGATAATTTGTCACGAAAATGCTCATCTCTCCTCTCCTCTCCTCTACTCTCCCTGCTTGTCACATATTCCTTGTTTTTGATGATTTATAACCAATCACATTCGATAATTTGTTGAATTAGCCAATTTGAAGCATACTAGTACTAGTATGTGATCAGTAATGTGGAAGAAGTGTGATTTTCATATCGAACAAGTAATGTGGAGCAGAGGAAGTATTAATACTACCGTACCTTTCGATTCAATGTTGGAGTGGTACAGCCAGGAGTACCACTGGAAAATTTGATATTCATTGCCTCTAGACATAAATATCCTATCAGAAGTAATGCCTCTCTACTACGCGATAACTGACGAGCAAACTTGAAGCGACTTCCTGCAGATTTCAGCATGCAAACTTGAGCTTGTAAACTGACATTGACACCTCCATTCACTTTCCATTATGCCGTTACCGTCCCATCGCAAGCCCTAGAAATGTACTTGTATGATTTCAATTTGAGTTTGATTGCCACGAAAAACTCCCATAAATTATATTCCTCCAACATCACATAGAAATATTAATTTTGAATAGACTAGAAACAGGGTGGTCACAGCCGAGTACCACTCCAACATTGAATCGAAAGGTACGGTATATATATACCGGTATATCTATATTAATAGTGACGTTAATTCGCGTTTATCAGCTATTAATACTACTGTACTACGAAGTACTAGTACTACCGGTAGGCATATACTTCAAAGTACACTGTATATACCTTTTACTACCGTAGTATTTGGGTATTCACGAAACAAACTACAGTCAACGAAGGAGTGGTTCGCCTATCGAACTATGTTGACATGCAACTGTTTTTTTAACCAATCAATTTTTTTTGTGATTTGAAGGCATGTGATTGGGTAGCTATAATATTTTCCCGCCGGGCGCCCGCTTCGCATGCGGGAGGTACAGGGATCGATACAGTGCTTGGCGGAAAAACGCAGTCAGTGCTACAGTCAATATCACTTCAAATTTGTATGGAGAGTGGGATTTGCAAAATTTGAATTAAAATAATATTTGACACCTTGAATGGGGACAATCCAGAACGAACAAATCTTATTGGATAAATAAATCATTGTATTGGCCAATCAATCTCCAATGTAACGTTACATATTTATGTCGCATAAATGGTCGAATTCATGAATGGACTGCACGAATGGATTCAGGAGGGGGGTTTACCCCGAGAACCCTCCTACCGACTCTAACAAGCTCACACACTGGGGGACTACCAAAACCTACGCAATTCGCAATTTCGCATCCGGATAACCCAATATTTTTAATCACGACGTCTCTCGAACACGCTGTGTTTTGATAAGGCGGGCTACCAAAACCTTCACAATTCACTATTTTACTTCAATATAATTGGATGAAATAAATATAACGTTACATTCCCATTGGCTTAAAATATTCAGTGGATGTAAGCATGTCGGCCTCTCTCGCCGCGGTCATGGGAGCGCACTGGGCACGCCTGCAAAGGACCCGTCGACTCATGCGTGCCCTACGAATCCGCGGTTCACTGAGGGAACACAACTATGTTCGCACGGTATCCCTCGTGACGTACCAAGAAGACACACCATGGTACACAATGTATGCCACCAGGGACTCGCATGATTTGGATACATGCCGTTGTTGAACGCCGATTCGACACGGTTCTAAGTGTTTCGGCCAGCAGGAAGGTGTTCTTCTACAAGGTCAAGCAGCAAGGACACGGTTCTTCGGCAGCGGTTCAATCACACTGAACAATGACTCGGCATGTGCCTTTTCAGACACATGACACTCCAAATTGTCGACAAGAAGGACGGAGGCGTCGAGTAAAAGGTCCGCCAGATTGTCGAGGTACATCATCCACACACGCTCGTCCATCCATGCATTTGCTTGGACGGCATACCAGTGACCAACAGGGTACGTTGGAGCTCCCGCTTGTCAATGGTCCCACCAGGCTGCACTTTCACGATGAACATAATGGGTAGTTTCACACCTACATTGGCCTTAGAAGTAGTTGTTTGATTGCCTTACCATCAGCTCGAATCGTCAAAAGTGCCGTCAATCGCTCCGAGTGTTTTTCGGACTTGACCACTTTGCTCGACTTCCCGATCTCCGCCAGGGTGCTCCCGGGGGGCATGTCGTAGTACAGGCCTGTTTCCTTAGCGCTCAGAATGGTGTGTTTTGGGTAGGCAGCATACTTGGTGTGGAAGTGCGCTGCATAGCCAAGCCTCACAGACTCCAACACCTCTTGACTGAGCTTCGACACACAGGGTTTTCGGTGCCTAAACCGGTTGCGCGTACAAAACCGAAGCAACAGACAACGAAGAGATTCATAACCAACCTCCGGGCTCTTCTTAGCCTCGATGTAGGACACGAGCCACGGCTTTTGGTTTCGTCGGATCCATTGCATGAGGTGAAACACTCTGACGAACTTGTTGTTGTCCCGCCGTTCGCTCATGTACGCAATGATGTCGCACTTGAAGGGGATCATTGATTTGCGGCCTTGTCCTCCCATCGTGGCCTTTCGGCCGTGGCGCGTGCTGGATGTGATCTGGGACTCCTTGCGCCGTCATCCTTGCCATGTCCCGTAGGGGATCCCAACGTCCCGACAGAACTGCCGTTCGTTGGTGTAGCCAGACGCGTGAAACTGAGCAATGATGGTTTTCCGATCACTGTTTGTGTATCGGCGTTGCTGGAGCTTCACTTCGGTCGGAGGCATTTTTCGTTTTGAAAGCCATGTTCAAAAACATGAACTTGAATTTGCCTGTCTTGTGATTGGTGGGTTTTGATACGTAATCAGACCATCTTGTCGATAAAAGTGAATCAATTTCATCCAACCGAAATCGTTTATTTGATCACCCATGTGTGCCCTTTATAATAATACTGTATGCATGTCCTACTCTGACTGCGTTTTTCCACCAAGCACTGTACCCTGCTGCTCCAGGCGTTTGTAGTATACTACGTAGTATAGTGGTCAGTACTTCACGTTGTGGCCGTGACATCCTGGGTTCGACTCCCGGCAGGCGCATCTTTTTCATCTTTTTGTTTTAGCTTGCGCTTTCAGCAAGCTTACATTTAATACTAGTACTGTAGTACCGGTACAGTACTAAGAGTATCATGAGGTGAAATTATGGCTTGAGACTTACGATTGCTACGGTGGAAGACCATGTACAGCCTGCCTACAACCTGGTACACCCAGCAGAAATCACAGGCACGTTTCGCTCATTTCACTGGAGTGGCAGATTGACTGAAGCAGTTCAGTGTTGGCACGACTCGAGACAAGCACCTAAAGTTTAATCCAACTCGACGTCTCTTATCTCCGATCGAAGATTGTGGTACAGTTTAAGGTGCACTCATAGTGGCCAATGGAATTGCTTGAATTTTGGAATAGCCAATCGAACACTAGAAAAATGAAATCCACAAAAATATGCAAAAACAGCATACATATTTTAAGCTTAAACCGTGCACCACA